CTTTACAAATTCTATTTCAAGAATTTGTGTAACAGTGATGTTTTTAGTAACAATAAAATTCTCTGCTATATAATGAAATATAATATGTCTTAATGATTTATTGATAGGAAATGGCATTTTGCTAAATTAATAAACTGGGAAAAATAATCAGAGAAAGGGCAATTAAATCGCGTATATTTATATAATATATACAGGGTTAGTCTGATACAAGTGTAAATAAGTCCAAAAGAACTAAGTTAAATAAATAAATAAATGCCTTTATTGTCAAAAATTTTTACAATTTGTAGACAAAGGTAAAGTAAACAAACAACGAAGAACAAAAAAATATAAATAAGATTCAAAAATATTTAGTAAGTTTATACTAAATATCAATGACCTCTAGATAAATTTACTTCGATGTCATTGGTAAATATAGTAATAGCAAACATTAGACCAGTGTTTACAATATAAAATTCGATTATGAAAATATAAATCATTTACGCGGTAGAAAGCCTTGTCTAGTAAATAAGATTTCAATGCTTTGCAAAATGAAGAGAATGATGTTATGGATTTAATTTCAAATGGCAGGTGATTGTGCATTTTTTTCGAGTTGTATAATATTAAACTTTTAACTAACTCTGAGCGTGGGGTAGGTAGATAAAGATCTTGCTCCGCGTTCCTGAGTGGATAAGTGTGAAATGGCCTTTCTTGAGGAGCTGATACATGCGTCAAGCTGCGGAGCTGAAGATTTTACGTCAATGGAGGTGTTGTTAAGTACAAAAGGCTGCAGCGAGTTTTTATACGACAAAGCTTTAGTTTTAGAAATGTTGAGACTCAGGAGGTATTACGCAAACGGCTTCAAATATAAATAAGGAAGGAAGAATTAATAATTTTAAAATTTTAAAAAAGTCCTCACAACAAGTTCTGCTGTTTAGTCCCAGTGAATATCGAACAGCTCTCTTCTGGAGCTTGAAAATGCGGTAAAATTGAGTCGCACAACACGTACCCCAGAATGGAAGGGCATATCTGAGGTGCGACTCAAAAAGTGCATAATAAACAGTTCTAGCCACTGACAAGTTAAGCTCCTTAAAAACAGATCTTAATGCAAAACAGGCAGAGCTTAATTTTTTCGACAAAGCGTCGATATGCATGTCCTTCCCATTTCAGAGAATTGTCTACAACAACCACTAAGAATTTTACAGATTTTACGTCAATGGAGGTGTTGTTAAGTACAAAAGGCTGCAGCGAGTTTTTATACGACAAAGCTTTAGTTTTAGAAATGTTGAGACTCAGGAGGTTCGAGTCGCAAGATTTAATGGTGATTAAGTCATTTGATATAATCCTATGAAGTGCCGTGACGGCCTTGTTATTCCAAGTGAAGCTAGTGTCGTCCGCAAAAAGACATATTTTACCACTGATGTTTATGTTAGCAATGTCGTTAATAAAAAGAAGAAACAAAATAGGGCCTAGTACTGAGCCTTGTGGTACTCCACATTCTATTGGCTTGCTAGTAGAGAACGTTATTTTACTTTGAAAATTATAAAAATAAATTTTTCCTTAAATTTTAAAAAACATTTTTTTCTGACTTTTCTTTCTTGTATATTTAATCAACAACCTCTCCCATATTATCAATATGTTATATTTTTTAACTAAAAATTAAAATAAACTCTAAATTTTATCTCCAAAAATACCAAATTTTCAAAAAATTAGGCATATTTGAAAAAGTGAATAATGATGTAATTAATTAATAATTAAATTAAATTAAATTAATTTTTCCACTAAATTTTCATTGTTTTTAATACTATTTTATTAAAGATTAGTATTTAATTTTTAAATTACAGTAGAAATGCTGTCATTTAAAAATAAGAGTTTGATATATTTCTAATGTATCCAACCGTTGATACTTGATAAGATTTGTTCTATAATATGTATCAGATACTAAAGAAGATTAATCGTTTTAAACTTGTATTGATCCAAGACGATAAAGTAGCTGTAAAGTATGATGGATTTGGTGATAAAATATTACGTCGTTTCCAATAAGATGAAAAAAATAATAAAAAAGAAGGTATAAAACCTATATACAGATATTTTATAGTATAAGTATAGGGGAAAAATTGTAACTTGGTTATTTTCTTTTTAAACATGATAATTCCGAATATTTATAGTATTTATTATACCGTATGATTTTATAATTAACGATCGATGGCATTCCTCATCTAATTTTACATACAAAATGAAAGCGATCTTCGTTTCAAAGCGATCTTCGTTTCAAAGCTATCTTTCACCCGATTTTTTTCGATAATTTTATTGCCTTTGCATTTTTTATGGTTTCCAAAATCCCAATGGTCGTTCTTGTATTTGGGACACTGTACATTTTTTAAAATAAAATATAAATATTGATTTACTTTGTAAACAAACAACAACATTTGCATAAAAAAGTATCGATGAAGAAATTTAGTGTAAGAAAGCACTAATATATTAGTAAGTACGCCATATATACATTCATATGTTTGGCAAATTGATATTACATTTAATTAACAAGATAATTGAAATTTATATCCAAAAATTATTATTTGTATGGCCATCTTTTTTTCCTCTTGATTAATGTAGCTTAAAACAGTTGTTTTAATTCCACATTTGAATTTTTTGTTTCTTGCAAGCGTACCCATGTCACATTAGGTTGAAGTAAATGTTCTTGACAGCAAGGCTTTTTAAAATATATTGGGTTCGCATCTCTAATCACGAAACTAAATTGTTTTGTTTCATAAACAGACAACACACACAATTCAACATCGAATAAACATCTTTTTGTTCATAATCTATCTATTTTATTAAATATTTTTAATTTTTTTAAAAATATTTTATTATATTTTATTAAGTTTACATTAACAGTTAGTTAATTAACTTTAAATTTAATTTTTTTAAACCAATACCTTTTGACCTTATCTTCCTAAAGTACTAAAATTTGTTAATTACCTTTATATTATAAGAGATGTATCTCATACAAAAAATCGTAAGTGTTTTTGAATAGTTTTATTTAGATATTTTCAATTTTTTTTCTTTGTTCTTTGTTTTTTTTTGCTTCTAGCAACGTAAGGTTGCACCTCCTGAAACGTTAAGCACTTTTTGTCAGTTAGACAAATTTGTTCTGCTTGAAAAATACCCATGACAAATTGGTCTCCGTTGGATCAACGCGGGTGTGTTTACAAGATTTTTTTTTTATTTTTTCTGATTTTCTTCTAGTAGCGAAAGACCTAGAATTCTTTTCGAGAAATATTATTAATACTCTTGCCTTTTTCATTTGATAATTCAAAGGGTAATTTCGTCTTTTAAAACTATTATTAATGCAGCCCCACTGTGCTATTATGGCCTCTAAAGAAACAAGATAAATTGAGATGATGCACAGTTCTCGTTAACTGCATAGAATAAAGCAAGAGTTTGGTAAGGTTAAGAAAATAGAGCACTAATTAAGTTGATGGTGGGTTTAGAGAAATATACGTAATTAACAGTGTTTTGCGCAGTATTATATTTTACGTTTACGGGCTGTAGAATGAAATAAATAGATTAAAAAATAATATAGTCAAATATTCACTTTATATTGTGCTGTTGAATGATCCGCAATATCTGACTTCATTGCTTCAACTTTCTGTACATGTTATTAGTGCTCGCTTAAGTAGTACATTTAGAGGACGTTTAGTCTCTCCAATATACTACTCATCCCATTCACAACATATCTGGTAGATGCACTCTTTCTCTTGTTTCAATGATTCCGGCCTTGTTTGTGTTTGGTTTGAAGACTGATTCAGGTTTGAAAGTTGGATCCAGATTTAAAGACAGTTTTAATGTTATAGTTTTTGTTTAGTGTAAAAAAAGGTGTTTAATGAAAAAGTTTATGATAGGGCAAAAATAATATGTTCAGACGACATTTCACTAAACAGAGATATAAACCACATAAAAATACATTAATAAAAAACGACTATCCACCATATCTTACTGACAAACATTAAACGAAATACAAACCCCAAATCATAGACACAATGGTAACAATACACAATATATACAACTTACAATTCGAGGCGAATACATACGAGGCGTTTCGGAAAATTTAAGAAGTATACTTGGAACAATATAACATACGAACATCAAAAAATACACTTAGATCCATTTTATCACATACTAAACCAATGAATACAGAACAACAAACAAAAAATGTGAATGGGATAAATTTTACATTGGTGAAACATCTAGACCCTTAAATGGTAGAATTAAAGAACATAAAGATTATTTAAGAAAGGGAGATTTTCACAAATCTAAGATTTGTCAGCATTCATGGGACACAGAGCACAGAATAAATTTTAATAACGCCAAAATTATAATGAAAGAAGTGATCTAAAAGAAAAATAAAAGAGGCTTTTTTAATACAATCTAATAAAAATAAATGTATTGCTCATGCTTCTTTAGATGTTAGTAATGTATGGTAATCGCTTTTTTGATTTTAAAGAATATAACATAAATAAACATAATATACGTAAAAATTAAAAATAATCATACAGAAAGTTTGGGCTTTTTGGTTTTACCTAATTAAGTAATTGTTATCAGGTAGTAATTGTTAATTTTGAAGTTTAACTTGATATAATGTCATTTTAACAGAACGTCAACGGTTTTTGTAGACGTATCTGTCTTAAAAAACTAAAGTGTTCTCGAATAGTTGAATTTAAACGTTTTAAATAGTTTTTTTCTTTATTCTTTGTATTTTTTTTTGCTTCCGACGACGGAAAGAGATAAACTTTCCGAAACGTTAAGCATTTTTTTGTTCGTTAGGCAAATTTGTATATCTTTAAATCTAGAATTTCATGAATCCAAAAATCAAGAAATATATTGAAGGTTTTTTAGGAAGAATTTAAAATAGACAATAATTTTGTCTACATATCTATGACGTTACATACAAAAATCCAATCTGTATTTGATATTTCTGTTTGTTTCAGACAAATGCATAATGTACGGGTTGATTATAGGAAAACATGTCCGAGTATATCAAGCAAACCTACGGCGAAGACAAATGGGAAGAAATACGAAGAGCTGCCGGTGTGGAGCAACCCAGCTTCAGCACCCATCAAGTCTATCCGGAAGGTCTGATACCTCGACTGTCGAAGAAAGCTGTGCAGGTACAAATTACAAATCTTAAGGCGCACTCTTAAGGCGCATTCTCACGACTGGTGTACTTGACAAACATTGGAATATACTTGCCATGTCGTGAGGACGGTTTCCTTGGTCACTCGTCGCGTCCCCACTCTCTGTCGGTAAACACAGCCCGAGTCAAACGATTAATCGTACACTTGCCAAGTGTACTTGGTCAGCCTTGGCCAGCCTTGCTTAAGCCGGCCTCCCCCGACGCGGGACTTTGGCGAGTTTGGCGCGCGATTTGGCGAGCCACGCGTCGTGGGAATGAGAGCGCTCGTCGATATGACAAGCGGCTCGGCTCGGCGCGGTCTTCCGGTCAGTTGTCGGTAAATGTGGCACAAGTCAAAGGATGAACGAGCATCGCAGGCTTGACTTGTCTGAACTTGTTGAATTATTTCCTACCATTCCCACGTAGGCTTGTATTAAACAAAAATACTTTGGAGTCTCAGTAGCGTTCTTCATATCGTCGCAGAATAATCGTTGAGATAGGTGTATTTTTTGCAAATTAAGTTTCTCATTTATTTATTTTTTGAAGAATGGAGTGGTCAAATAAACTGGTTATAGAATTTTTGGAACTTTACGAAGAAGAACCAGCAATTTGGAATCCAAAGGACCCAAACCATAAAAATAGAAATATTGTTCATGATAGTTGGAAAAGAATTGAAACTAATTTAAGTGTCAAATGCACGGTGGCGGAACTTAAAAAGAAGAAAGAAGCATTGATGGCAACTTTTAGAAAACTGTGGCAAAAAGTAAAAGCGACCACTGAAACAGGCACAGGGACTGACGACGTTTTTAAACCAGGTCTGGTTTGCATGTGAATACATGCACAGATTTTTACACGGAATTTACAAAACGTGCAGCAGTGTCTATTTACACGAAATATACGCTGCACTGTTTTCACTACTAGGCAACTTGACAAGTCCAGTCGACGGTCGCGTGCAAATTTACACTCGCCACGCGCCGCGCCGTGGGAAACAACCACGCTCGCTGACTCGCCACTTGACGAACTAACTTGCCAAGCCGAAATTCACCAAGTCCCGCGTCGTGGGATGCCGGCTTTACACTTGCCGAGGCGCAAAAAAACGACTGCGCAAATAATTGTACTGTTATAGTATGTCCGATTTATTTCCGGATCGTAGTGTTTTTCGAGTTAGTTGCGGATAATTTAAAACGTTAAAACAATAATAGATTATGTAATATCAAATTTATATTAATAACTTCAATATTGGCGGCAGCTAAAATGGAGAATGGAGTGGATAAATGAAGACTACACGGGAAAAACCAGATATGTTACATTTTCATAGAAATTAAGATAGCGACGTTGAGCGATACAACTTTATGGACAAATGTTAACGTCATTCGAGAAAAAAGAAAGCAATAATACGCTTAGTCCCAGAGATATTACAGCTTGGTTATTTTGCCAGGAAAATCCAGAGTAGTCCACGCGTAAATGGCAAAAACCAGAGATGTACTGACGCATGGGCGACAAGCATGCATCTGGCAATTAGTATTATATGTTATAAATTTATGTATTGTAATAAAAACCTACTTTAATATTAATTTTCTCCCTACAACAAAAAAATAATAGTTTAGATTTAGGTTTTATAAAACCTTTAATTCGACATCCCTGGTTTTCCCCCGTTTTGTTTTGCATTTTGACATTTTTATTTCGGTATTTCAGAATATGGCGATAATTCACAATATTAATAATTCAGAACTGGTAGTAATATATATTCTTCTAATTATTCAACCGAAAATAACATATTTCTTTAAAAACACTAAATTGCATTTTTCTCGGCTCCAATTAAAATTGACAAAACCGGGTTTTCCCGTGTAGTCTTCAAATGATGTTGTTTTGGAATTTATGAATTTATACGAAAATGAGCCCTTCATATGGATGGCCAAACATAAAGAACATAGAAATCGTATTGCATTAAAAGAACTTAAAAAGAAAAAAGAATCACTAGCAACGAAAATTTCGGGACGACCGGTATCCATCGATGCGACTATACTGTTTACTTGCCAAGGATTTAAACAATGTTGTTGAAAAGGACACGTCGCGTCGTGTGAGCGCCACACTTGCCGATGTTGTTTACAAAGTGGGGACTGGTGGGGATACTTGCCAAGTACGCAAATATTGGCGTACTTGCCAAGTTGACGAGTCGTGAGAGTGCGCCATTACGACTCGTCTATTAATCAAAATAATTAATTATGGCAAAAAAATCTCCATTTCAGATCCTCCAAATCACCGAAAAAGAGTTCTTCGACAAGATGGGCGTGTTCTTCATCAGCTTCGTCAGCCAGTACGGCTACGACCGGGTGCTGTCCGTGCTGGGCAGGCACATGCGGGATTTCCTCAACGGTCTGGACAATCTGCACGAGTACCTGAAATTCTCCTACCC